AAAAAAAAAAAAAAACAAACCTCTGAGCACATCATAGTACTCATATGATCATGTCAGAAGCCAAGTTGGGAAAATTAAACACTTTTAATACATAAAGAAAAACATAACTGTAAATATCTTTGGGGGAAAATGTATCATCAGACCTTCACAATTTTTGTATTGCTATATTGAGTATTTCCCTATTCTAGATATAGCCCATTATCAAGGACTTAAGAGTTTCTTTAAGTGGTCTGGTCAAAAATTCCATGGATGACTATATTCTGTCAATTACATACCCACCATGTGGTCATTTTGAAGGCCCAAACTACTCAATGATTTATAACTGTTTTCTAAGGGAGTATTTTGCATATAGTCTTGAAAATTTCACATCAACCCTCTTCTGTTGGTTATACAGTTTGTAGTGTTTATTGTATTAAAATGGAAAAAATATGCTTATTTATCAGTGATTATAACACACACACACACACACACACACACACACACACACACACACAATACGGTACTGAGAAAGAAATATCACAACAACAACCAAAAACTTTGTTTTAATGTGGCAAGTCTATCTGTAGTGGTCAATGAAGAATAAAAAAAAATGTGTTAGATTAAGAAATATAAACATTTGGTTTCTGTAAAACAGCAGGAGTTTAAATATTACCAATTCCACAAGGTCAAATCCTAAAGAACGGATTCTAGAAGTGGGTGTGGAGACATAATGAACATGATCCTGCCATCTTGGACACATCTGTGAACCCTCACAACTTTATTTGTCTATAACACACAACAGCATATCGGTAAATCTACCACCAATCCAGGAACAGAGCATTAGCTATGCAGTCACATTCTCCATCACATAGAAGATTGGGTCTACCTGTTGTGAACTTCATATATTTAGTTACGTGTATTGATTTAAACAAAAGTCCTCTCTAAATTCAGGAACTTAGATTGCTTTTATTGGGTCACATTCATGCAAGTTAAGAATTCTGAGATACAATCTGCTATTATTGCCAGAAGGCTAGATAAACCCAATACATCATGGTTTAGTTGTAGAGCTTGGTCTAGTTCAAGTGAAAGACTCCCTAAATTGTTAGTCATATTCTACCTCCTAAAGAATAAGTGATCTTTGTGAGGACTCTAAACCAAGATAAGACAAGACTTAGTACAGTTGAAAGGCAAAGAATTTCTGAGTATTTTCATATGTCTTGTGTTCAGACTTCTTTAGTAACACTTCCACTGCTCTTTCCTTACATTAAAGCTCCTGTCCTCACACCTAATGATCTCTCTTCAAACTCGTCAGTGAAACTATCAAAGCAGTAACCACCATACTCAATTCTATGTTTATCCTAAGTAGTATTCTCCTATTGTATTTTCTAGTGCTTTCAAAGTCCAAATGGATCTTTCTCTCTCTCTGGAGTTCACAGGATTTGAAGCTAATCTTCTCTGTAAAGAGACTTTCAAATGTTTGAAGACATTAAGGTAGATCCCTTCTCTTTTCGTCTCTAGGTAAACAATGTTAGTGTTGGTTTATTGTTTGTGCTTTGCTTTTCCATTTTCTTCCTCACATGGGTTTCTAAATATTTCGGACAAACTAGTCAATATTCTAGGTATAGCATGGACCCCTTTGAGCTGATATTGACACTAAGAACTAAACTAATCTTTTCAGAGATATCATGGAGTGCCAAAAGGCAATGAACTCTGCAATCTGCTTGCACTTGCTATATATGTATACATATGTCTATGTGTATATATATGTATGTATATGTATGAGTTCCAAGTTTTTAAATATAGATAGATAGATAGATAGATAGATAGATAGATAGATAGATAAATAGATATAGATGATAGATAGATAGATAGATAGATAGATAGATAGATAGATAGATAGAACGAACCTGGGTATTTGTACTCAAATATTTCAACTGTGTTAGGTCAATTTACTGCCCTGCCAAGCTTTGTCCAGGATTTACCAGTAAGCAACAAATCTCAGACATGTACTTGAAACATTTGTACAAAGTTGAGGATTGTGCATTTATTACTAAATTTCATGCACTGTTGACTCCTTACTTCTCTCTTCACCCCTGGCGTGGCCTTTTAGTCTAACTGAATTGCTGCTAATCTCACTACTTCTTGCCTTTACTCAAGCCACTCTGTCCACCCAGAAGGTCTTCAGGTTCCATTCATATCACCAATCACCAGTGCCCACTCCATTCTCATTACTACTTGGGCTATTTGTTAAATTGTTGGTAAATATGCTTTCCCCGCCACTTCTCAAGAGTGCACATGTTGTGTTCAATACGTGTCCCACATAAACTTTAAGTGAGAGAATTCCAGGATGCCTTAACGACCTAGAGGAGTTCAAGGTCAGGAAAGAATGCCAGGAAGTCTTAAGGAGTTCAAGAGTTAAGAGTTCCAGGTTACTCATAATGAATGTGAGACTTCCTCGCCCATTCCACACCCCTTGTGAGGAACATGCTCCCATTGTAGATTTATTAGTTCACCAATTCTACAGGTACAAAAAAAATGCATAAAGGCAATAATTGTTAAGGTAATATTGTGGTGATAAGCTTGTCAAACTAAGTAGGGTATTGTTTTTAACTAACTTAGCTTGGTGCTGGGAGTATGATTGGGATTGAATAAAGAAGCTATATCTTTGTTCACAGTGCAGAAAAAGAAAAATAAAATATCTCACTTACCTTTTCATATCAGAAACTTTTCTTATAAAATTCTACTCTCAACTTTTTTGAAAATTAGCCCCATTCAGAGAAGGGGCTAATTTGAGTGGGTGGAGAAAAGACAGCCTTACATCATGTTATTTTATAGAGAACGTGAATTTAGGAAACAGATGTTAGTTCAGTTTCAGCCTATGTTGTATATTACATAAGCAACTTTAACAAGTTCTTTAATCATATGAGCCTCAATACTCTCATCTACAAAATGTGGGTGGTAACACCACGCTAGCTCATTTAATGTTGAGCGCGAACATATTAAATGACGTATGACCTTAAAATATCCAAGAAATCCTACACTTGGTTAAGATCTCCACAGATATCGGCTTCCTTCCATGTTAATTTTCTACTGCCATTAATCTCTATGAAAATAGTACAAGTTCCAAGTTTTTAAACGTTCTTGCGGTGCATATTCAGAAAGCTATTTTAAAAAGAATTGTATCTCCTGGACTCTTTTTAATTTGAGATGTTTCACTGAGTCTTGAATTCACAATCGTATCCATTTCCAACCCAGCAACACAGAATCTTCATTTTCCTTTGCTTTCCTAACCCTGCCTGGTTCTTTCTGTCTCTTCTGCCTGTCGTATGTGTGACTGTGGGAAAGGCAATCAGGGAAAGGTGAAAAGAGAGAAATAGTCTAAGTGTACCTCCCTCTTCATTTTTACTATCACCAACTATCCTCTCACCTGTATATAAGATTTCCAACTGGAGTCCAGTCTGTGAGATTAACTTTTGTTGACTCACACTTAGCCTGGAATGCAATGGTGTAAGCATTTTTGAGAGCATTTTATACTAAGTGAATCAAATCGAAACTTCTGCCCAGATGTCTTTAATATCTCCAGGCACTATATAACCACATCGTCTGCCATGACCATAGTGCTTCATTCACAGTGGGACCTTAAATCCTTATTGTACAAAAACAAGCATTTGTAACTCTTAATCTTCCACCATTCATCCCTCTGAAATGGCACCTCTACCCTTGTTGTACGTTGTGCCACCATTTCCTGAAGTACCACATAGCCCCTCCAAAAAAACTTCTGGTTAACAGAAATGCCTTTTCTCTTCTTCTATGTTCTTTCCACGTCTATTACCACAATGTATGTGTAGTGCCTGGCATGTTTGCTACATTTATGGGCATGTGTGTGTATGTGCATGTTTGCATGTGCGCCTTAGCTTTTTCCCTGAAGAGTATCACTTCTTTAGGAGAAGACTTGCATTTAACATTTCTTGTCAAACCACACAATGTGTTTAGCTTAGCAATTGGAGACGAACTTTCCAGCTCAGAACAACGGTTCTGGGAATAACGCAAGTAGAATGCAGCCAGTTGAATATACACACAAACCAAGTCGAAATTGCTGTTACTCAGCTCACATAGGTGGCTCCGGCCAACAACGTGCTGGGTTCCAATGTCCCTCACATCAGAATGAAAAGATAATCCTAGGTTGAATCAACTCACCAAAAGCCAGATTTTCCTGATGCATTTTTATTGAAGACTTCCTTGCTAGTATTAATAAGCTGCCTATACTTTCTGTCTCAAAACTGAAAGTTTGGTTTAAATGTTTCAGTTCTTTGATCAGAGTTGATGTTTCTTGCAAAATTTTATTCAATAAAGATCCCAAGAAATGCCACTTTTGCAATTGTCAAGAAATTTTGGAGGGAACATAGAGATGTCCTTCAGGAGTAGATAGACCTGGAAACTATGTTCCATGATGGTGTTTGTTTTATTCTAAGTGCCTAACCTTGGGGGCACAGACCTCAGGGAATCCTGACGGTGTGTGCTATAATGAGCTACAAACAAAATAATTAGAGGGAAATTCCTCTTCCTCAGCTTAGACTATAATTTCTTTTAAATCACTGACATGCTGATCTTTA